TAATAATTTATCTATATAGTTTTTGACTTAAGATATTATGTAAGTTTGTATACCTCCGTATGATCCATTTTGATTGATTTATTCGGTTTTAAATGCTTCTAATTAATATTACATTTAATACATAATTTAAATTTATATTAAACACTGTTAAGTACTTATTAGTGACATGCACCCCATTATGCAAAATAAAATAATATAGTTATTTTAGTGTAGTTATAATAATAAAATAATATAAGTTATATTTTTATTGTTGATTTGTTTAAAGTTAAATGAAAGTAGCTAAAAGGTAGTTTTATTTATTATCATTTACTACTGTGATTATTGTTGAACAAATTAATTAATTTATTAAGTTTGATGAACGACATAAACTAAAAACCTCATGCATGAAGATTTCAAAAATGGGTTTCTTTTTGAAAAATCTCTTTAACAATAACCGATCTTAAACTAGTTTTTTTTTTTTTTTTTTTTTAAGGGGGTGGTTTAAAAAATAGTCTTTATATAAAATGAATCTTAAATATATAATACAATAGATTTCGTGACAGGATTGGGTAAGCCACGCTCATAACATGATGCTATCTGAGTAATTGTTGACTGGCTTATCAAGTATTCTCACTTCTTAGCTATCAAAATGACCGACCCGTTGGACAATCTAACAAGAATCTATATCTGTAAAATAGTCAGGTTACATGTAGTCTTGCTAACAGTCGTATCCGACATAGACCCCATGTTTACTTCTCAATTTTGATCTAGTTTTCAGCAAATCATGGGAACGAAACTATCCCTTAGCAACGCATTCTATCCTCATACTGATGGACAATCAGAGAAAACGATTCGTACCCTGAAGGATATGCTCTGAGCTTGTGTTATAGATTTCAGAGGCTATTGGGATGATCATCTACCTTTGATAGAGTTTACCTATAATAATAGCTATCAAGCAAGCATCGGCATTGCCCCATAAGAGGCATTATATGACCGTCTCTGTAGGTCGCTGATCTGCTGGAAAGAGATAGGTGGTAGAAAATTGTTTGGTCCGGATCTTGTAGATGAGACTACTACCAAGATAGTTAAGATCAGAAAAAACACTCAGATAGTTTAGAGCAGACTGAAGAGTTATACAGACACTCGGATGAGGGATTTAAAATTTGAGAAAGGTGATCGGGTGTTTCTTAAGGTCATTCATTTCCATAGAATCAGTAAGTTTGGCAAGAAGAGGAAATTAAATCTCTCGATCATTGGGTCATTCAAAATCTTAGATAGGATTGGTACATCCGTCTACAGACTAACACTACATCTAGAGCTATCTAGGGTCTATAATGTGTTTAATGTGTCCATACTATGCAAGTACAACTCGGACCTCTCACACATCCTGTCCCACGAGCCTCTTTCACTTCACGAGGATCTATCCTATGAGAAGGTATCGATAGGCATTGTAGACTGAAATAGTTACTTCGCAACAGAAAAATACTCAAGAAGAGGCCACTTGGGAACTAAAATCAAACTTCAGAACCCAGTACCTCCATATGTTCGACTGAGTGAGAGGGTTACAAATTTAAAGGATGAAATTTTTCTTAAAGGGGAGAGAGTTGTAATACCAGGCCCCGAAAATTGGCCGGAGATAATCTTTTTTATTTGTAAAAGTATATATATATATATAATTAGTTTAATTTTTATTTTTATTTTATTTTATTTAGATTATTAAGAAAAATATATTAGGAACGAAATTGAAAACAATTTTGGAAAAAATGGGTGAAATTTTGACTCAGGTGGTGCTTTTAAAAGAAAACTTTAAAAAAAGAAGTAAAATCGCAAAAATGAGAAATTTGGCCACGTGGAATGGCTTAGTCTGCAGACATAGTGAACTAAAGCACGTCGTGTAGCAAGACACGCTGATATCGTGGGCCACGCGGGTGATCCGCGTGCTTTGCGATCAAACAGTCCTGATCACATCCCACGCGCACAGATGGCTATGATGCATTTCTTCTTCAGGCGCGATTGAATGAACGAGATCAATCACGATGAAACAGTTCATATTCGACCATGCAATTGGCCTAAACAAGCAGTGATCAGATGGTTCTCATCGCTCTACGTCGACACGAACTGACAGCCTAAATCGATGCGGGAGGAGTATTCAAACATCGTATCTCAGGGAACTATAACCCTAGTTGCACATATCCTTGTCGGAGAATAAGAACTAGACACTGGAGAAGGAGACCGACCCTAGCCGCCGCTGCACCAGAGCTACCACTAATCGCCAAAAAAAGTAAAATTTTCTCTTACTTGCTCGGAAGTTAATTTCGAGTCTCTTCATGGCCATATCAGAGCAAAAGGGATGGCAGGTGAGTTGAAAACTGCGGACAAAGTTCGGCAGAGTCGCTGCAGCCAAAACCCTAAAACCCCTCCTATGTCCTTCTCGTTTTTCGTTTCACACAATTTTTCGACCATTGTGTTCATCACTCTTTCCTGGGCAAGTTAGTCGAAGAAGAAACCCCAGCCGCAAAAGAGAACTGGCGAAGCCACCGCACTAGGAGACTCCCCCGTTAGTAGGTTTAGTTTCTTTCGATTTTCTAGCCAACCAAGGCCCCCTAATGTATTTTTTTGCAGGGTTATGTGCCAAACTGGCAAAAATTGGCCAAAACCGGCCAAGCCGAGGTGAATCACTGCTATGGGCGCCACCGTCGCCGTCGCTGTGGGCGCCGTTGCCGCCATGCTGAAATCCAAAAATTTGTTGGAAAGAGTTTTCAATATCAATTTTGGATTTTTAGAATATTTTTAGGAAAGTGACGAGTATTTTGATTCTTGCAAAAAAAAAAATTCAAAAAATCTGGGACCCATTAGAGGCGTAGTAGATAGTATTGCGTTTCGAAACACCAATTCATGTAGAACCCCATCACCTATTCTCTGTTCCGTGAATTGAGGGTTAATGATGTATAAGTTTTTATTTTGTGAAATTAAAAAAATTCTAAAAAT